TGGAGGCCAGGATGGACACATTTCTTCTCTGATACTGTGGACATATTGTCAGGAGGGACCAGACACTGGAGAAGGATATCATGTTTAGTAGGGTGGAGGGTCAGAGAAAAAGAGGAAGACCCTCAGTGAGATGGATTGGCAAAGTGGCAGCATCAGTGGGTTCCATTGTGGCAACAATTGTGAGGTTGGCCCAGGACTGGGCTGTGTTTTGTGTTGTTGTGCATACGGTCGCTGTGAGCTGTTACTGACTCGATGGCAACTAACAACAACAGCAACACTTTTTAAATGAACCTGTATCACCTGCATAATTAAATATTTCTTGAAGAGGTAGAACTTGAAGTTTGTGGGATAGGTAGAACGCCAACTCCTAAACAAGAAGTAATATTTAATAAGACAGAGAATAGGAATTTACCTGCAGTAGCTCATCATCAATTTCAAATATAACCAATTTAGCAAGTATATTCACCTGTTTAACATCACTATTTACTAGGTACATTTTATCATCTATTTTGGAAAACTGCAGCATCATTTAAGCCTAAACATGTCTAAAACACTGCCCTAACACTGGCTGTTTAAGAATAAACAAATAAATAGAGCTCACAAATTTAAAGTGGTGCTCAGAAGGCATATTTGGCCTAAGATTTCATACCATTGTCATATATGATACACAACTGGAGAATGAACATTCTTACTTGAAATGTTGACCCTTTAATTTCCTGGAATTCTCTAAATCTTCTAATAAAAAGTCAGTTAGCTTTGCATTTATTTGTTTGACTGTGATCTTATCTATTAAAAGTATACCACACTATATATTCCTGAGTGCTTTGGTGTACATCCAAAAAAACCCCCCAAAACCCAGAGGGAATGGAAGCAAATGCTGTTGAATGATGATGCATGGAGGGGATTATAGTCATTGCAATGAAATGAAATACGATAGGATGAATGTCAAGCTGATGTTCTCCCATGTAAAATATCACTCAATTCACATAAAAAATTAAAAAATATATATATGTACCGCTTACATATGATGTTTCTGGGGTATCTGGAATATTTGATTAACCAGAAGATCCTGTTCCTTAATGGTATTGAACAAACATCTTCCTCTCTTGCCTCCTCCTTTCTTCTGATTTGTTTCCTTCTTTTTCTTTTACCTCCATTACTTGTATACTTTTTAATCTCTGCCTTTGTTCTTATTTGCTTCTCTGCCTCTATTCCTTTATGGCTCCTTGTCTTTCCTCTCTGCTTCTTCGATCCTACCCTTCTCTTGGCCTGCATTTCTTTAATTCTCCTTTTTTCTTTATCCTTTGTTCCTTCTCTGCCCTCTTTCATCTTTCCTTCACTCTTATGCTGCCATGCTTTGCCTTCTTCTCCTATTTCCTCTCTCTTTGCTGTCCTTCTTCTTTCTTTGCCTTGTCCCCTCTTGTTACCACATGTGCAGGTCTATGATACACAACTGGAGAATGTGGAGGCCTTTGAGGGTCTATCTGACTTTTGTAACACCTTCAAGCTTTACCGGGGCAAGACTCAGGAGGAGATGGAAGATCCATCGGTCATTGGGGAATTTAAGGTAACTCATCGAAGGCATGACTACAACCCAGGTGGATTGAGTCTGAAGTAGCAGCATCAGATAAAGAGAGTGGGAACAGGGGCAGCTGGTAGTATTCGTGATGTCCTGGTGCTCATGATGGTGAACATGTGGGGATAGAGGTGGTGCTGGTGCTGGTGTAGAATCTGCCTTTGGTGTGTATGGTGTGTATAGAGATGAGAATAATGGTCATAATGGTAATTGTATTGATGACAACAGTGATAAAAATAAAAACCAACCCCTAATTCTTTGCAGGGCCTTTTCAAAATTTATTCTCTCCCAGAAGATCCTGCCATCCCCATACCTCCAAGACAGTTCCACCAGTTGGCTGCCCAGGGTCCTCAGGAGTGCCTGGTCCGTATCTACATTGTCCGAGCATTTGGCCTGCAGCCCAAGGACCCCAATGGGAAGGTAACATTCCTAGGATCCGCATCATCCCCAGAATAGCAGGTGTGGGTGCAAATGGACTGCAGAATCAGACACAGTGTCTGCCCCAGGGAGTTGGGAATTCAGACAAATACATATAAAATTGAGATGCAACTGGAGGAATTCTATCAAGGGCCGAGCTCTCTAGGAGGTTAGAGAAGGCCACAGTCAGTGGAAGCCTTTGTAATAATGTGGACACTTCCTGGGAAGAATAGTAAGGACTGTTCAGGATGGAAGGAGTTTTGATAAGCTGGGAGGAAGAACAAATAGTATTTTCTGAGGGGGTCAAAAGCATAGGCAAAATTTTGAAAGAAAGAAGTTGAATGTGCATTTACAACAATGAGGGAACATGAAGATGAATACTGTTGAAGGTGTAAGTTGGGATTAGACTTTGTAGGACTTTCAGTGGTGGGGTGGGAAGGAGGGAGGAGCCCTCCCTACTACTACTCAGCCTGTCTTTACTGAAGACTTTGATATTTTGTTCATCATGGATTGTTAACACTAGTTTAAAGTGTTAAAATAGTACATTGAAATAAATTTATCTTGATTACTGAGGATTTTGGCACCCCTTTAAATTTTGTGCCTCAGCTGCTTCACTGTAGTCCATGTCCTAGGTGGAGGAAGAGAGTTTGAAGAGGGAAGGAGCCTAGTGGTCCAGGGAGATGGGGGTGGGAGGGCAAGAGTATAGATGGAAGGAGAGAGTGAGAAGAGAAGGAAAGATGAGAGTCTGAGTAGGTAGACCATTTAGAGTTTAGAGGTATGGGGGGGCGGCGCTCTCTTGTTTCTTTAGAAGGGTTTAGGTGCTGTGTGTTAATGCAGTGGACTACAAGGTCGGTTTGAACTAAAAGGTTGATGGTTCAAGCTCACCAGCTGCTCCTCAGGAACCCTATCTAGGGTAGCTATGAATCAGAGTCAACTTGATGGCACTTAACAGCAACAACAACATCTGACCCTAGGATCCAGACTTGTAAGACGGAGAAGTCATCATGGCTGCCTCTGCCCTGCTGCTGTAGTTGAGACATCTCACAGGGCATTATAATAGAGCTGTTCTCAGGCATCTCCGATGGCTTCCAAGATGTAATCCTGGCCAATGAATCTTCTTGATGCTACACTGAACTGGGCACTGCCCAGCCCCAGCTGCTCCTGGATGCTAGTTGGAGGAGTGCTGTTGTTCCCTTGGACTGGGTTGATTGATGCTGTCTGGCCACCTCTCTCACTTTCCATCTTTTTAAGATGAGATCACAGATAGGACCCCAGCCTGGCCCGTTGTTGTGAAGTGCTGTTGAGTTGGTCCCATCTCATTATTACACCACTGTAGAGGGCTTCTGAGGTTGTAAATATTTGCAGGAGCAGAAAGTCTCATCTTTCTCCTGCTGAGCAGCTGGTGGGCTAGGACTGCCAAGGAACTTGTGGTTCACAGTCTAGTGCTTATCCTACAGAGCCACTGAACTCCATCAGTTTGGCGTAGTCAGATATATAATAGAAGTTGCTGTGTTTCTAAACGTATGGACCTGCCTCCCTGCCACTTCTCACAGAAGTCAGTGACTTGGGAATATAGAGGGACTCCTGATGTGGTGCTGTGGGCTAATGCATCAGACTGCAAAGTCATTTGAACGGCAAGGTCGGTGGTTCAAACTCACTAGCTGCTTCTTGGAAACTCTATACTGGGTCTCTATGGGTCGGAATCGACTCGACGGCATCCTAGATTCACTGTTGAGGCTGTGTGGAGTGCAGTGAGGGCCCTGGTTTAGCAGAGCAGAATTTACATTGCAGCTTCTTGGTTCTCCACCTAACCCCATTAGAAGGCAGAAGCCAAGAAGCTTCAAAGACAGGTTCAGAAGGTCACTTGATTGTTTTTGTTGCCTCCTCCTTCAGTGTGATCCTTACATCAAGATCTCCATCGGGAAGAAATCAGTTAATGACCAGGATAACTATATTCCCTGTACCTTGGAACCTGTGTTTGGAAAGTAAGTTGTGGGCATCTTGGGCTTTGGAGTGCAGGAGTCAGTCTGGAATACCCACAGTCCAGTGTAGGAAATGTGACTGACACTGGGAAGTCCCCATCTCCTGCTGTGTTCCCTAACTCTGTGTGTCTTTGGGGCTGTCACCTTTGTTGCTCAAGTAGTAAAGGCTGCAGTCATGATGGACGTTCCTAGTTAAATACGTAAACAATTACCTCGAAGGACAGACGTCTAGGTGGGAATGCAGAGCATGCATTTGCTATCCTTTTCATTTTTAATGAAATTTTTCACTGGAATAATACAGACTTTTTACAGAAAAGTTATAGAGATAATACAGAGAATTCCCATATGCACTTCACCTAATAACCTTTACTGTTAACATCTTACTTAATCAAGAACAATTCAAGATACCAACCACATCGTATTTAGTAGTTATGCATTCTCTTCTCTTGACTCGTGTTCATCTGTAGTGGACTTAAGATAGTAAAATGATTCTTGAAATCTAAGAACAAGGAAAGGAAGAGTCAATGTCGATTTCATGAGCACAGCTTTCCTGCGTCCTGAATTGTGGAGGGGGAAGGGGTGCTGCAGAGGGGGATTTACAGCGAGTTTTCCAGCAGCACCTTTAAGAGACCACCACTCGTCTGCCAGTTTGTCATACTGTGGTGGCTTGCATGTTGCTTTGAAGCTAGAAGCTATGCCATGGATATTTTAAATACCAGCAGGATTACCCATGGTGGACAGGTTTTAGCAGAGGTTCCAAATAAACAGTAGGAGAGGCAATCTACTTTTGAATGTTTAGCCACTGAAAACCTTATGAATAGCAGTGGAACATTGTCAGATATAGTGCCAGAAGATGAGCCCCTCAGGCTGGAAGGTTCAACATATGACTAGGGAAGACCTGCCTCCTCAAAGTAGAGTTGACCCCTTAATAATGGGAATGGAGTCAAGTTTTCAGGATCTTCATTTGCTGATGGAGCAAAACACAAAGTGAGGGGAAACAGCTGTAAATATCCATTAATAATAGGAACATGGAATGTACAAACTATGAATCTAGGAAAATTGGAAGTTGTCAAAAATGAAATGGTTCACATAAACATTGATGTCCTCAGCATTAGTGAACTGAAATGGACTGGTATTGGCCATTTTGAATCAGACAATCATACGGTTTACTATGCCGGGAACAGCAAATGTAGAGGAATGGCATCACATTCATCATAAAAAATAACGTTTTAAGATCTATTTTGAAGTACAATGCTGTCTGTGACAGAATAACATCCATACGCCTACAAGGAAGACCAGATTGTACCTCTACTATTCAAATTTACAAACCAACCACTAAAGTCAGTGATGCTGAAATTAAAGCATTCTACCAATTTCTTCTGTCTGAAATTGATCAAACATGCTTTCAATATGTATTGATAATTACTGGTGATTGTAATGTAAAAGTTGGAAACAAAGAGGAAGAATCAGTAGTGGGAAAATATCGCCTCAGTGATAAAAATGATGCTGGAGATTGCATGATAGAATTTTGGAAGAACAATTATTTATTATAAATACCTTTTATCAATAAATACACATGGCCCTCAGCTGATGGAATAAATAGGAATCTTGTTGATTACATATGATTACATCATCAGCCAAAACAAAACCAGGGGCAGACTGTGGAACAGACCATCAATTTCTCATATGCAAGTTCAGGCTGAAGCTAAAGAAAATTAAAACAAGTCCACAAGAGCCAAATATGACCTTGAACACATCCCACCCGAATTTAGAGATCGTTTCAATAACAGATTTGGTGTATTAGACACTAGTGATCACAGACCAGAAGAGTTGTGGGATGACTTAAAGAACATTATACAGGAAGAAAGTGAAAGGTGATTAAGAAGACAAGAAAGAAGAAAAAGACCAAAATGGTTGTCAGAATAGATTGTGAAACTTGTTCTCCAGCATACAGATGCTGATGTGGGTGGAAAAAATGAGGAAGTCAAAGAGCTGAACAGAAAATTTCAAAGGGTAACTTGAGATGACAAAATCAAGGATTATAATGAAATATGCAAAAACCTGGAATTAGAAAAGTAAAATGGAAGAATACATTCAGTATTTCTCAAGCTGAAAGAGCTGAACAAAAAATTCAAGCTTTAATTTTCAATACTTAATATTGAAAGATTCTATGAGAAAAATATTGAATAATGCAGTAAGCATCAAATGAAGATGGAAGGTATACAGAGAGCCACTGTTCCACAAAGAACTTACTGATGTTCCACAATTTCAAGAGGTAGCCTATGATCAAGAACCAATGGAACTGAAGGAAGAAGAAACCCAAGTTTCACTGAAGACATTGGCAATAAACAAGGCTCCAGGAATTGACAGAGTACAGATTGAAATCTTTCAACAAACTGATGAAGCATTGAAGGCATTCCTTCATCTATGCCAAGACGTGAAAAAGATTTATAATACTTACTGATAAAGATCAAAGACTATAGCCTTCAGTATGGATTGCACCTCAATATAAAGAAAACAAAAATCCTCACAACTGGACCAATAAATGAGATCATGATAAGTGGAGAAAAGATTGGAGTTGTCAAAGGCTTCATTTTGCTTGGATCCGCTATCAACACTGTAGCAGTCCAGAAATCAAATGACATATGTCATTAGACAAATCTGCTGCACAAGACCTCTTCAAAGTGTTCAAAAGCAAAGAGATCAGTGTGAGGACTAAGGTGTGCTTGCCCCAAGCTGTGGTATTTTCAGTAGTCTCATATGCATGTGAAAGTTGAACATTGAATAAAGAAGGCTATAGCAAAATGTATACATTTGAGTTATAGTGTTGGAGGAGGATATTGAAAGTACCATGGATTGCCAGAAGAACAAACAAATCTGTGTTGGAATAAGTACAGCCAGAATGCTCCTTAGAAGCCAGAACGGTGAGACTTCTTCTCTCATACTTTGGATATGTTATCAGGAGAGACCAGTCCCTGGAGAAGGACATTATGCTTGGTAAAAATGGAGTGTCAGCAAAAAAGAGGAAGACCCCAATTAGGTGGATTGGTAAGTGTAAACAAGAATATGCTCAGTGTGACAATTGTGAGGATGACTCAGGACAGTATTTTGCTCTGTTGTACATAGGATTGCTATAAGTGGGCACTGGTTGGACAGCACCTAACAGCAGCAACAACAACCTGTAGGAAAAGATGTGGGGTGTGTTCATAGTGTTGAGTAACACACTGAAGCAAGGACTTAGGGGAAATGCTGGTTTTGAAGGGGAAATGGCCCTGGCAGATGGAGGGAAAGGCTGGAGAGAAGATGGAGTGGAGAAAAGAGCTGTTGGTGAGCTCTCTGCTGGGATAGACTACATGCTGAGAGGGTGGGGTGGTGAGCAGGTCCTATTCCATGTTGAGGGCCAGGGCCCAGGCCAATGTGGGGAGGAATGCAAAAGAACCCCTCTCAAATCACCTCCCTCAATTCAGGCCATTCCAGGAACTCTCTTTCTGTAATCCTGCACTGAACATGCACAACTCATGGGGCATAACTGGAACCCAGCTCTATTTTGTCTGCCAGTGCCCTGTAAACATTTGTTCTGTGGGACCATTTGCCCCATTCTGTGGGGAAACTGTGGCAGGCTAGCCACATCCCTGCTCACTGTTAGGCACAGACCACTACCCCAGCCAGTCACCAGAATGCCCTGGCCGTGCCATAACTAAAGCCCAGAATGGACTGAGGGTCGTCTCTCCCCTTTCCCAGCTGGGACCACTTCAGGTGTAGCTGTGTGTGATGTGTGGTATGTGTGTGGGGGGCTGTGTCTTCCTCCTGTTCCCTGTTTAGTGTTGTTTCCCTTCTCACCTCTGACCAGTCATTGATATTTCTGGCTCCTGTAGGGCCTGGTCTAGGGGAGCTTGAATTTGTGACAAGGACCAGTTTCCTGTGCTTACCACCTTTCTTGTTGTTGTTGGCTGGAGCTCTCCTTGTGGCTAATGCTTTAGCTGATTTATTTTCTTGTGGGTGCTTTCTCTAGCCTCTCCCACTACGCCTATGGTGATGAGGCAGACACTATACCCCTATACCTGGCCACTTCTCTCCCTGGACCCCTGATTCTCAGATGGTGCCCTCTACAATCTCTTGCCCTTCAGGATCTCCTGTGCAGGATATAGAGCCGTTCTGGTCTGGTCTCCTGTGACCTGCATCTCCTTTGCAGAAAGCCTCACAAATATATGTACACACACTTCCCTTCATTCCCTTCTAGAAGTAGGTCTGAAGCCCTGAGAGCCTAGAAATGGATCCCAGGTCACCCACTAGTAAATTCTGTCAGAGATGCTCAGGCACCTCACTCTGGAGTCTCGTATGGGTCAGGTTCTGGTTTCCTGGTTGAGGAATCTCAGGGGGGTATAAAGACAGCTGAAAGGTTGGTGGTTCAAATCCACCTGAAGGTACCTTGGAAGAAAGGCTTCATGATTTACTTTTTTTAAACATTTTTATCATGAATTGCATGCTAGTTTACATGGGAGAACATTAGTTTCACATTCATCCTATCTTATTTTGTTTCATTTGCAATGATTGCAGTCCCCTCCATGCATCATCCAACAACCAAAGTGTACGCCCCACAAGCCTGCCCCCTGGCTGCCAGCACACAGCCCCTCTCCCTCCCTGAGTCCAGGGTCCTCAGCTGCTCTATCATTCCACGTCATCATCTCTGCCTCCATCTCTGGTATTGCTGCTTCTCTGGATAGGGTCCCACACTTTGCTCTTCTCCCTTGATGGTCCCAAGGTCCTCTGCTCCTGGTCTGCAAGATCAGCCACTTCCCTGCTTCATGATTTACTTTTGAAGAATCAGGCTTCGACAAGACTATGGAGCACAGCCCCTGTGGACCGTATGGGATTGCCATGAGTCAGAAGTGACTTTGCGGCAACTAGTCCTGGTTGAGACTTGGGCTTTAACATTCTGTTCCAATTCGTCTGTTCATTCTGCTGTGTGTGTGGATGCATGCATGTGTGTGTGTACATATATGAATAGACACATACTCTCTCCAGGACCACCTAGTAGAGTGCTGTGGGTGGTGTGTTTGAAGAGTTGCAGGAGACTCAAGGAGCATGGGCCACTCTTGAGCTTCCATTCTAGCTTGCAGTGTCCTTGAGTGTCTGTTGTGTATAGCAGTACCAGGTTGCCAATGATATCGTGCACCTCCTGCAGGATGTTCGAGCTGACCTGCACCCTGCCTCTGGAGAAGGACCTGAAGATTACTCTCTATGACTATGACCTCATGTCCAAGGATGAGAAGATTGGAGAGACAGTCATTGACTTGGAGAACAGGCTGCTGTCCAAGTTTGGGGCTCGCTGTGGACTCCCCCAGACCTACTGTGTGTATGTGCATGAGAGCTGACTTCTTCTCTAACAACAAACCCACACACTGCTTATTGAGGACTTATCGTGTGCTGGTCCTGGGCTAGGCACTTTTCAACACTTAATTTAATGTAGTTTAGTTAATCCAATGGGGGGATACCCTTCCCAATGCAGAGATGAGGAAACAGATGTTAGCAGTGGTGGGGTTAGGATTGGAAGTTGTTTATCTGATTCTAAGAGCCTGGCTCTTCATCATGTTGTTATAATCATTTTTAATGTGCCCCCCAAGGGCCTGTAAAGAGCTGGGTGCCTGGAAAGAGAGAGGGGAAGGCAGGGAGGTAGGCATTGTCACATACAGGTGAACTCACAGATTGACAGCCCCTTATACCCCCGAACTCGGTCTTGTTTGATCTGATACTCTAAGTCTGGAAATTAGAAACACCCAACTTCTAATTCTGAGTGTATTTAATCAAGTCCTTTTTTCTCTGGGCCTTAGTTTCTTCATCTGTGAAATGGGGATTCCAGTCATGATGAGCAGACACATGGGGAGCTCCCTGTAAAGAGAAGGGTGGCTGATGCTGTATGTGCAGGTGCCCAGACCAATTCGCACCCTGTGCCTCATAATTTCCTTAGAGTGCCTCACCTTTGTCTTGTGCTTGGGCCTCAGCTCTGGACCGAACCAATGGAGGGACCAGCTCCGCCCTTCCCAGCTCCTCCACCTTTTCTGCCAGCAACACAGAGTCCAGGCCCCTGTGTACCAAACAGACCGGGTGATGTTTCAGGATAAAGAATATACCATTGAAGAAATAGGTGAGTCACCAAGTGTGTCCTGAAACCATGGTGGGCTCCCCCTTCCTCCTAATGTCTTGTCAGGCCCTCTGCCATCATAAAGGTCTGGTTGGGTGTGACTCACATCAAGAAGGTGTGGGCTCAGATCTGTCCAAGGAAGCACAGACTAGCTGAACTTCTGCTGAATACTTTTGGAACCAGTACTTATTTAGGATGCCATTGTCAAAATTAGGGGTCAGGGTGGAGGCTGAGGTTAGGGATCAGAGTGGGTCTAAGGCCCAAGGTTGGGGTGGGGCGAGGGTCAGGGTCCAGTTCTAGGCTGGACAAAAATCAGGAGTCAATATGAAGCTAGGGTCAGGGTCATGGTCATCATTGATCTTCTCCTGGCTTTGGGTTGGGAATTCAGGCTTTGATTAGAGTTTGGAGTACAGCCTTCCTCTAAGAGACAGGTTTTTATATGAATACTGGTGTGACCCTGTAGGATAAGCACTGGACTAGTAGCCACAAGGTTGACAGTTCAAACCTCCCAGCTGCTTTTGGAAACTCTACGTAGGGTTGCTGTGAGTTGGGATGAATTCAACAGCACATAACAACAACAACCACTACTGCCACCTGCCAGCTTGACTCTGCTGGTACTTAGAGACACTCCACTCACAGTCCTTATACCTACAACATCTAAAGGCCCTCACACTCTCCGCCAGCCCCTGCTCTCTTGTCTGAGCATCTCGTCTGCTCCCTGAGATGTGTCTGAGATGCCCAAGGCCTGCCCTGCTCTCTCCCCAGAGCAGCTCAGCCTCCTCAGAGGTGTTTACAGGCCCAGCTGGGCCCTTGCCTCCTGGTTGTTTCAGGATGTTTGACGTCAGAGCTCGTAGTGAAGATATAAAAGGGAAGTGACAGCTTTGCCTCCCTCATCTCTGAGGCCCCCCTCTTCCTTCTGTTCTGTTTCCCTGCCTGCTAAATCAAGACAGAGCCAGGCTGCTGTCTTAGGCCCCAGCCCCTCCTGCTCTCTTTTCCAGAGGGTGCCTATGGTGGAGGGATAGTCTCCTCTCTTTCGGCAAGTCTGTGAGCAGCTCCAGCAGGGAACAGGGCTATTGGCTATAACATTGTTGGACACTATAGGTCAGAAAGCCAGAGACTGTATCATCCTTCAGCTTTTACAGATGAGACTGTTGACAACTTGCCCAGAGTCTCACCGCCAGTTAGGGGCAGGGCCATATTCCTGGCCCAGAGTCCTTTTTTGGCGCTAGGCCATTTCCTTGGAGGCTTCTGTTGGAGGTAGATGGGGTGGGTCTGACATGTATGTGGGTTTGTCTGTGTACGTGGGAATGTGCACTGGTAAACATGGATGGACCTGTGTGTACATGTGTGTGTACACATGTGTGAAGCCCCCCCCCCCCGCCTCAGCCAAGGCGTCTGTCAGGACCACTCTTAGGCAGTGCCTTTTTATCAGCTTCCCCACCCTGTGTCTTCACCTCATCCCGTCCCCACCGGCAGGAAGGAAGTATGAAGGGAGGAGGCAAGGGCTGCTCACCTCCAGCAATAAACATGTGATTTCAGTAAGTCTGTCATCCCAGATGCCCGGCTGTGGGATTTGTCTTATGTGGGCTTCGCTTTCCTCACCTGCATTTGCCTTCTAGGTGACTGTGAAGATGACACATATTCATAGCCATAAAGAACAATGCTCAGTACACGATTGCTGGTACAAATTCTCATTATTAATGTAATTTTTTTTAGGAACTACCCCTAATAAAACATTATACATCAACCAGAGCATAAATTGTACTAACAACACAACAACATTTAGATGCTAGATGTGGGGGGTGATGGGACTGAGGCTGAGTTAGAAATGGTCAAAGAGGGCTTCTTGGAAGTGGTGGGCTTTGATGGACAGGAAAGATGTAGGATTGGTGTAAAGAAGGGAAAACTTGGTAGGATTTGTGGTAATATGGGTTTTAAGCTTGTGGACGGCAGTGTTTCCCTTGCAGAAAGCTTGGGAGAGGGAGGACAGGCAGAAGCATGTGTGGGCCGGAGGTGAGGCCATGGGTCTAGAGGTTTCCTGTAGCCTCGAGGCAGCCCTGCACAGCCAGCTCAAAGGACTGTTGTTATTGTTAAGTGCCATCGAATCAGTTCCAACTCAACAAAGTCCAAGGAGTGACTCTATGGTTTAAACCATCCTTGAGGTCCAGTGCATTCTCCTACAGCACCAGTAGGATTCACAGAACAGTCCTACCGTTCCCCACCCACCTGTCACGGTTTTGTCTTCTCTCTGGTACAGAGGCTGGGAGGCTTCCGAACCCACACCTGGGCCCTGTGGAGGAGCGGTTGGCTTTGCATGTCCTTCAGCAGCAGGGCCTGGTCCCAGAGCATGTGGAGTCACGGCCCCTCTACAGCCCCTTGCAGCCAGACATCGAACAGGTAAGACTTGGCCCTTGGACTCTGGAGTCTCTGGGCCCAGCCCGAGCTGCCAAGAACAGTAGGGCCCTCCCAGAGGAAACAGCAGGGGCCTTGGGATTTGACCAATTCCTCCTTGACTCTGTCTCTGCAGAGTCTGAGTAGCCACCACTATTGGACGACAAGGGGAACTCTTGAGCTTGGCCCTCGGGGTTGGTGAATGAGTCCCAGCTGCCTCTTTCCTCCTTGTGTAGGTTCAGCCTCTGACTGCCCATCATCCTGAAGCCTTAGTGTTTCAGCCTAGCCTTGTGGGTCTCCTTGTTCATCATCATCAGTCTCAGAGGCTTGACCCTGTGGCTAGCTGAGTGGGGTGCTGGTCACTCTGTGACAAAAGAACAGTGCAACCACAGAGAGCAATAATCACAGTACCCCAAAGTATAATCCTGCGCAGAAGGGAGGGTGCACAGAGCGGCAGCGTAGGGAATGTGACTAGGAAGGCTTCCTGGAGCAGGTAAGCTCAGAGCTGGGTTTTGGAGCAGATAAGGAGAGAAAAAGATTGTAGGCAAAGGACAGGGCCAAGGTGAGCCACGAAAGTGCCTTTCTGAACAACAGAGTAGTCATCCACGTTGTTTGGAACTTAGCTCCTTCTTCCCCTAGGTGGTTGATCACCAACCTCCCCAAAGTAGCACAACTGGTGTTAAAACTTCTGTCTTTTCATTCTCTAGCTCTGTGAAGTCATTTTACTTAGTCACTTCAATGCCCTCTTCTTCAGACCAGAGCCATCACACTGGCTGGCAGAGAGGGGTGGAGAGGACAGGAGAGCAGTTTTTAGTTGTGGAACCTTCTGAGTCTCCCAGGACTAAGCCATGCTCTCTTCTCCCTCTGCGGTTCGGTGTACATCATTAACTGTGCCTCAAACGTCCTTCTTCCTTGTCCATCTGGCATACCAAGATCATGAAAAATCACTCTGATAAGTCGCTCCTGACCCTTGACCCCCAATCATAGGCCCAAGTCAGTGGCCTCACCTTGTGGCCAGCTATGTAGTCCTCTGTTAGGGCTCTCCCTAGAGGGCAGTCAACCCGTCCAGTCACATAGCCTGGCTTTTTGTCTGTCCTGTCCCTATGTGTTTGTATAGAGTAGGTACTTGGTAAATATTGGTTGAAAGAAAAGGGTGATGAAGAGAATGGAGTTATGTCTCCACAGGGAAAGCTGCAGATGTGGATTGACTTGTTTCCAAAGGCCCTGGGGCGACCTGGACCTCCCTTCGACATCACTCCACGGAGAGCCAAAAGGTGACTTACCACAGCCACGATTTCTGAGCTGAGCTAGGGGATGGAGGTAGGATGGCCACAGACAGCGGTGGATAGGACCAGGATGTTACTCTGAGCCAGGCTTTGGGCCTCTCAGACTGCAGGATATAGCTCTTTGTGTGGGCCTGGCCAGATGTGTAGTCAGGCAAACATCTGGGTCTTCTCAGACAAGCTGGACGCCTCTAGGACTATTCCCTGTTTTTTTGGGAGACCCATGTAGACCTGGACCATTTTTCTTCTCTTCAGGTTCTTCCTGCGTTGTATTATCTGGAACACCAAAGATGTGATCCTCGATGACCTCAGCATCACGGGGGAGAAGATGAGTGACATTTATGTGAAAGGGTAAGCAGACATTGTCCTTCCCACTTGTCTCTGGGCCTACCTCCATGGCGGGGGTCCCTTGCTCCCTGTGGAGTGGTACCCATTGTGGGGGGTTCTGGTGGACACAGGCCAACAGAGAAAGGAAGGAGGGTCTCATGGGTCTGGTCTATACCTTTGAGGAGTCATTCTTCCACCAGATTTCTTCTTTTGCACTTAACTGGAATTTTACGAGGTTTGAGGACACCCTTAACACGGACTGAGAACTGAGAATGCTTTGAACTTTACGGTCCATTTTGTAGATCAAGGGGACATTTAGAAATTATTTTTGCTTTATCATTTATTAAGTACATATACACATACCTTCTTAATTTCTCTGTTTGCCTAAGTCGAGGACACATATGAGGGGGCTTTAAGAAGTTTGTGGAAAAATTCCACTCCCATTTAGTTCCATTTTTTTCCATGAACTTTTTAAAGTCCCTTTGCGTTGTGGCTGAAACCTAAATTAGAAATGTTCTCTAAAAACACCTATGTCTAGATGGATGGTTGGCTTTGAGGAACACAAGCAAAAGACAGATGTACATTACCGGTCCCTGGGCGGCGAAGGCAACTTTAACTGGAGGTTTATTTTCCCCTTCGACTACCTGCCAGCAGAACAAGTCTGTGCCATCTCTAAGAAGGTGAGTGTGGTCCCCATCCCCAGTGGGACGAGTTCCAGGGCTTCTTAACGCCAGTGTCATTGCATTACTGCCAACATCATAGCCCACTGCCACCCCACCAATGTTGGTGCTACTGCTCCTATCACTGCATAACCACTCCTGCCCATCACATTGATCCCCAACCACCTCTGCCCTCTCCCCGTGATGTCTCCATCCCCACCACCACCATTACTGCCTCTCTCATTGCAATTGGTAGAGACGTGGACAAGTAGTAGGAAGTTGAAACTTTTATTTTTTCTGCCAAGTAGGAGGAAAGAGAAGCTCCTGGCAGCTTGATAGGTGGTTTGAAAGAAATGAGGAAGGTTTTAATCAGCTGTTAACCTGAGAGGAAGAAGGGGGGTGGGTGCGGGGCTGGGGAGACGCTAATTGGTGGCACAGGGAAGAATTACCCACTTGAGGTTACTGATGAAGAATTTGGAGTGTTTCCATTCTGGCAGTGATGTGGTGGTACCAGCAAGGAGGTGGGGAGTTGGACTGGCCCTTGGTGGCTGTTCCAAAGGAAGAGCGGGGTGGAGGATTTGTGCAAGAGAAGAATTGGCGTGAAGGCTTGTGAGATCTGGGTTAGTCTTAGAAGAAAGAGAAGTCTGTGAGGGCTGCTGGGATGGAGAGGAGGATGAGGATTCAGGAGGGTGGCAGGGCTGCAGGGACGGGAAGTTGCACATGAAGGGGGAAGGGGGAGGAGGTCAGAAGAGGTCAAGAACCAGTCCAGGTGGTTGTGAAGTCAGGAGGGTGGGCCAGAGCCAACAAGTCACTCTGGAAGAAGGGGCCTGGGAGGTGGGGTGGAGCTGTGTCCTCAGTGGGGCTCCAATTAGCTGGTCTGGACAAGGAGACCAAGTCTGGGCGTGGGGGCACAGGGGTACTGCAGAGCCTCTGGGCTCCCCATCCTAGGCAGCCCTCTGCCGGGGGCTCGGGGCCTCTGGCAGGCTGGCTCTCCCCAGGGACCCTATTAACTAGACGAGACTATCATAAAGCACAAGGTCTCCTTTCATCCGGCGGCTTTGAACCACCGCTGGTTGCCCGGCTGGCTCCCCACCTGGAGCCCAGCACACCCACCAGGCCCTGCCTGCACGTCAGGCACCCACCCTGCCAATAAACAGCTAGTAAAAGGGCCCAGGCTGGGAGCGTAATGAGCGGCTGGGACCTGGGGGGGCTCATTCCCCAGGCTGGAGCCCCAGCCCAGCTGCTCCCACCAGGGGCCGTTTGAACCTCTGGCTCATTACCGAGCCCATAAACTGGGCGGCCAGGAGGAGTGGAGATGCTGGCGGCCTGTGCAGGCGGCCTGCGGAGCTGGCCATAAAAGCCCCGCCAGAGGAGGGAGGCACCTGCAGGAAGGCTGGGGCCCAGCCGGCCCGGAAAAGGGGGAGGCCCTAATGGGCTGAGAGCAAGGGGCCAGCCTGGAGATCTGAGCCCCTTCACACACCCAGGAAGCTGTCCAGTCTGCAGCTGCGTGCTTTGCAAGGTGACCATCCCTCATGGGACCATAGTCATGGTCTTAGGTGGAATTTGGGTGACACGACTCTTGAGGCTGTAGCTTTGGTGGCTCTGACTAAGCAGCAAAGCTGTGTCTGCAGGATTTCCATCACTAGGTCAACCTGGTTCCACCGTGCTCCCCGACTCCCCATGGAACCTGTCCTCCAGGGACTTAGGCCTAGACCACAGTTCTGACCTTGTGGGAATGTCCCAGTGATGGTCCTGGGGTGGCATGTGGATGGAGCTAGTGGCAAACCCAGGTCTCTGCATTGAGTCACATATCCCTTCAGCTGCTCCATGAGATCTTCATGGAAAGACCCAAGATAGCATTTCCCAGGGAGGACTGAGGCTGGTCTCTAAGGGAGGTTGCATGGGTTCTGCACAAGGAAGTGGGTGCAGCAGGAGGGTCTCTCCTCTCCATTAGGTCATGGTGGTGGTAGTGTGCCTTAGAGCCAGTTCCCACTCATAGTGACCCTGTATAGGGTTTTCAAGGCTATAAATCTTTACGGGGGCAGAAAGCTTCATCTTTTTCCCACAGAACAGCTGGTAGTTTTGAACTGCTGACCTTGAAGTTAGCAGCCTGATTTGCAACCACTAGACTACCAGAGTTCCTCTCCATTAGGTAGAGGATTATCAAGCAGCCAGCACTGTGGGCATTTGATGCCCCTGGGCAAGCTCTTAGAGGTGATGGACCCCCGTGCTAGTATCTTGCAGCAGTGTGTTCAGAAGGATCTTTCTCATAATGCCAGGATAAGGTGAGGGACTCGCAGGTTGTTAGATAACCCACTGTGACTCCAAGATCATGTGAGCAGAGCAGGGTTTAAGGATTGAGAGCAGAGACCAGGGTATGAATCTTGGCTGCCATTTCCTATCTGTGAGGCCTGGGGCCAGTTGCTTGCATAGGTTTCCTTAATTGTAGAGATAATATCCCCCTCCGAAGTTGTTGTGAGGATAAATGAATTTGTACTGGCAAAGGGTGAACACATGAGCAGTGTGATAGCAATATTATTACTATGAGCTATCTGATTTGGCACAAAGTCATTTAACTTTGCCAAGCCTATTCCCCATCATTTATTAAATGGGAATGATAACTCCAACTCATGGAAGTGGTACCCTTTTGGGACCTTGACCATTGCCCTCCGGAGCCTTCCTGCCAGGACCCTGGCTCTGGCAAGGCCCCAAGGAACATCCTACCCTACTGCCTCCTGCAGGTAGCCTTCTAGGCTGGAAGGGACCATTGTGTTTCTCTAATCTTGAATTCTTGCTTCCTTCTGTATCTCTCCTCTTGACTAGGATGCTTTCTGGAGGCTGGATAAGACCGAGAGCAAAATCCCAGCTCGAGTGGTATTCCAGATCTGGGACAATGACAAGTTTTCCTTCGATGACTTCCTGGGTGAGCACTGTTTCCTCAGGCCTATTCTGCACAGGAGGGACTGTTTCCAGAATCTCCACTGTGTGTATGCTATTCTTGAATCTTTCTGGAAGCTTGGGCAGAAGAGGCAGTCTGATTTTCTGCCTTCAGGGATCTCAGAATCACTGACCCCTGCATTTTGATCACACTGAGATAGGAGACTCAGTGTGATCACTGTGGCCACCCAGGGTGGGTCAGGCAGCAGAGGTGGCATTGGTGCTGGGCGATGGCAGGACTCAGATAGGGAAGTCGTGCTCTGGCTGCCTCAACTCCTGCCCACAGCTTGGGTCACCCCCACCACATCTTTCTTTCTCACAGACTGAACAGGACTAATAAGGGGATCAAGTCACTCTTCATCCTTGTGCCCGAGTGACTGAGGGTGTGAACAAGCAGCTCTTCCTTCATCCCCAGCCCCCAGGCAGGATTCTTGCATAAGTAGCCATGTTGAAAACCTGAGCTGAGAGCAGGGAGGCCCTTGTAGAGGGTAGGACAGGGGGATGAGGAGAAAGGCCACGCTGGGCCAGTAGGTGGGAGTCTAGCAGGTGGGAGCAGGAGAGTCTAGAGTTAGAAGTAACCCTGTCACAACAATGGACGTGAACCCATGAAAAGGCACCCCGGAAAGACTGGAGTCCTGGGCTCTAGCTCCGCTCGAACTCTTGGGAGCAGGATGGCTTTGGACAAATCACTGAAGCTTTCCTTAGGTGACCCTTGATTGCAAATGGTGAGGTGGTCTTTGCTAAGTTCTGTGGAATTCTCCCTGTCTCTCTCCACCCCTTTGTCACATCTGACTGATCACCTGCACATGGGACTGGATTTGCTCAAGAACTTCATGAAACTTCATGTCGGAAGATTCTGGGTGTCAAAAGAATGACACCAAATCTGACTTTGATTATTTTACTTCTTATTCTGGGGTACAGAATTCATGTTGAAAAATTAGAATGACCCCTTCATCACATTTTATTATAACCTCACCACCCAGAGATAATCTCCACTAATATTTTGGTATGTATAATTTCAGATATATAAACAAATGTATATATGTTATAAGGAGCTCTGGTAGTGTAGTGGTTACAAATCGGGCTGCTAACCTCAAGGTCAGAAGTTTAAAACTACCAATCACTCCATGGGAGAAAGATGATGCATTCTGTTCCCGTAAAGATTTACAACCTTGGAAACCCTTACAGGGTTGCTATGAGTTGGAACCTACTCCAAGGCACACTACCACCACCACCATATGTGTTATATGTGTATTTTATAGATATACATATACAGGCATACATATATGATATACAGAAAAATGGGCTCATACAAGTACTAGACATACTAATTTCTTTGCTGATTAAAAAAAACAAACAATAAACCGACGCAATATATCGAGAACATTTTTTCTAGTTAGTAGTTATCTACCTGCGTCTGTGTTTGCATCATCATATTAATGCCTGCCTCATGTCCCATCAGACTGGTAGACTCTTTGCTTAATGAATCCCTTCTTGTGGGTGTTTAGGCCATTCCTGTTTTTAGATGTGACCCCCTTTGTATCCTTTGTATCCTTTGCACATATCTTTCCTTTGCACATATCTTTGTATCCTTTGCACATATCTTTGTATCCTTTGCACATGTCTTTGTATCCTTTGCACATATGTCTTTGTATCCTTTATATCCTTTGCACATATCTTTGTATCCTTTGCACATATCTTTCCTTAATTCTAAGATGTAGATTTGTTAGTCTTTCTAAATTTTAATGGTTTTTGGAATATGCACTTGAATTGCCTTCTGGAAAAGTTTCCTTGTTTGTATTTCCAACTATGCCCTGTTTGTGTAAGAATACCATTTCCCTAAACTCTTGTTATTGCTGTTATCTTCAATTTTTTTCCAATATAAAACCTCATTTTAATATATTTCTTCATTATTTGTAAGGTGGAACATGAAAAAAATATTTCATAAACACATTTTTGGTGAGATTTTCCTTTTTATGGCTTTGGAATGTTTCATCTTTTGTTGTTGAGTTTTCAGAGCTTTTCATATATTAAAAATATATTTTGTTGTTGTTGTTGTTAAGTGCTGTCGAGTCGGCTCCAACTCATAGTGACCCTGTGTCGGGTTTTCGAGGAGCATCTGGTGGATTTGAACTGTCCAACTTGTGATTTGTAGTCCAGGGCTGATCCTACAGTGCCATACCAGAAAATATTTTAGATCCATTTTTTTTCCATTTATTTTTAACTTTTATGGAGCATTTTTGCTTATGAACTTTACAATTATTTTGTGACATAAATTCATCAATCTTTTCTTTATGGGATGAGGCTTTAGAAAATTAATTTTTAAAAGAAAGCGAAGGACACTGCATTTTTTACTGAATTCAGAAACCCATATTCAAAATCAAGTTAAACAGACTCATCTTTTGTTTTTAAAAAAGAAAACTAGTTAACATTGATACCTTTTAACTCCATGAGATTCCCTATTTTAAACTTTATAATATGTTTTCTAATTAAATATTTTATGCTTAAATATTTATTTCTTTAAAAAATTTTATTTAATAATGATTAACAATTGATCTTGCCATCCTAAAATAATGTTATCTTTCCTTGTAGCCTTTTATAGAGATTGAGCTGGGATACTAGTATGCATGAGTATGTGTGTATATATGTGACTTGATATTCTGAATTACTGGGGGGCCATATTTAGAGTTGGAAACAAGCATACTCATGTGCACATGAGGGCTGGTGAGCTGTAGGAGTAAACACGTAGATAGATGAATGCTGCTGATAGAGTTGGAAACACTGATAGATGGAATAATAACCTGATTAGTAGATACATGTAGTGTTCATTGAGTGATAGCAGTCCTGGTGTGGTGCTGTGGGTTAATGCATCAGACTGTAAAGTCAATTGAACTGCAAGGTTAGTGGTTCAAGCTCACCAGCTGCTCCTTGGAAACCCTATACAGGGTTGCGATGGGTTGGAATCGACTCAACGGCACTTAACAACAACAAATCGAGTGATATCTCTAAATTAATCTAGTTAGGTCAAAGGAGAAGCAGGTTGGTGGGTGGATGAATGGATGGATTAAGGACTGAGTTGAAAGAAAGAAAACTTCATTTAAAAAAAGCTGTATATAATCAGTGAAAACTCAGTAACTTAGCACTCCGTACTTTAGGGGGGCAGAAAAAAGTTGTGTATGATGTTCAAGAATTTCCCTAATTTGGCCTCAGAAAACATTTTTTAAAAAAGATTTATCTCTCACTTGATTCCTTCAATACCCTAGGCTACAATTCCACTGACTCTGTGAGTGCCATATTATTGTGCCTAAGCAAGATGAAGTCATATGAAATTGCTGTTTTCACAGGCCAAATATGGTTGAGTATCAGCACTTTGGTATGATTCCATCTAATAAGTGGAGCTGTAGAAGAAAGGGATGGATATAATGGGTGAGTAGGTAAATCCATATAAAATAGTGGCTACATGAGTAACTAGGTGGGCCGATGAAAAATTGGATGATGGATGTAGGGAGACAATGGGTGTATGAGTCAATTTGTATATAGTACAGTGGAGAGTTAGAAGTCAAGAGTTCTGTTAAGGGTGAATACATATGTGGGCATGTTGATAAGCATATGAATACACGAGTAGATGAATGAGAGAGACTATGGATGGAGTTGTAGAGAGCTTAAGGGCTGATTCATGCCTCAGCCCATGGATAGAAACTAAGGAAGTGACAATGAGCTTTTCTTGAACCTGCCTACCTCCCAAGTAACCCCAGTCTGGCTGCACTTCAGAGAGCCCTGGCTAAAGAACACCTGTGTATTGCAGGCTCTCTGCAGCTGGATCTCAACCACATGCCCAAGCCAGCCAAGACGGCTGAGAAATGCTCCTTAAGCCAGCTAGATGATACCTTCCACCCTGAATGGTTCGTGTCCCTTTTTGAACAGAAAACAGTGAAGGGCTGGTGGCCCTGTGTGGCAGAAGCGGGTGAGAAGCAGATGCTGGCGGTAAGTCTCCTCTCCTCAGTCTAGTGAAGAATGGGGGTGGCTCCCATACTGATCATGTATGTACATGGAGTTTTGTACATGCTTACTGCTCATCCTTTCTCCCTCTTGTCTGCCTTCCATTTCTCTGTTTTTTAAGGCATCATCCCTTTTCCCTTCCAGTTCCTGACCTTCCTGTCACTGCAGGCTCCCATTCCAGGCAACATGTGTTCACACTGAAAGATGCCCTCATGTCCTGTGGATCCTGTTTATATTCCACTCACTTGCTCTTTGCAGTGAGCTGTGTCCTGGGACAGTGGCAAGGGGTCCTGACTCCCATTCAGCAGGCCTCATCTGTGCTGAGGGGTCAGTCCAGGAGTGTGACTGGCAGAGCCAAGAAGGATCCCTTCCCTGAGTGCGGAGCTGCCTTAGAAAGGAAGTTGGTCCCTGACAGTTTACTAGAAATGGCAGGCAGCCAGCCAGCCATTAAAGTGGTCCTTGAAATAAAATACCCTTGTTATACAAACGTGTATTGCAATTAAACAAGAAATGCTAACACACCAAAAGAAAATTGAGGGAAGGACATGAATAGGTAATTCAGAAAAGAATTACACACAGCCATTAAACACTGAGAAAAATATTCCCCCGAAAAATTAAGTAGGACTCCTGGTGTGGTACTATAGGAGCCCTGGTAGCATAATGGATTACGAGCTGGGTTGCTAACCGCACGGTCGCTCCTTGGGAGAAAGATGAGGCTTTCTGCTCACATAAAGGTTTATTGCCTTGGAAACCCTATACAGGGTTGCTGTGAGTTGGAATAAACGTAGTGGTACACAACCACTACCACCTGGTTTGGTGCTGTAGAATCAGGACTAGATTGTGAACCACATGGTCGTCAGTTCAAATCTACCAGCTGCTTCTTGGAAACCCTATAGCAGGAGTGGGTAACATCCAGCCCATAGATCTTATGTTGTTGTTGTTGTTAAGTGCCATCGAGTTGGCTCCAACCCATAGTGACCCTGTATAGGGTTTCTGAGGAGCATCTGGTGAGTTTGCACTGCTGACCTTGAAGTTCAAACTGACTTTACAGTTCAGCGCATTAACCCACAGCACGCCTGTCAAGGCAACTGAAGTTCTAGCCATCACATTCAGGGTGAGTTAATTAAATGTTTGACCAAATATAACAGGTTAATTTTTAATTTGATAATTTTGTATGACTCGTGAATGATGTTACAAATTTTGGCAGGAAAAAGGTTCCCACCCCCACTATACAGGATCGCTTTGAGTCGGAACCAATTCTACGGCACTTAACAACAATAAAGATAATTAAGTAAAGGAATATTTTTAAAATGTGGTAATATTTTTTATCTACTAAGTTAGAACACATTTTGAAACATAACAATACTCAATGATGATGAAATGTTGAGAGACAGGTCCTTTCATTTTTACTACTGAGGATGCTAATTTTTTACTATTTGGGAAGCAGTTTAGTAATTTGTTGTTGTTAGGTGCCATTGAGTCAGTACCGACCCATAGCAACCTTATGCACAGCAGAATGAAACACTGCCTGATCCTGGGCCAACCTCACTATTGTTGCCACGGTTGAGTCCATCAATGCTGCCACTTGGCCAATCCATCTCATTGGGGGTCTCCCTCTTCTTCTCTGACCCTCCACCTTACCAAACATGATATCATTCTCCAGCGACTGGTCCCTCCTGACAATTTAGTAATAGGTAGCAAGAAATTTAATGCTACTTATAGTCTTTGATTCTGTAGTCCCACTTCTAAAACCTCTTCTAAAGAAATAACCAGATAAAATTAAAAATTTAGGTTCTGTGATGTTTGTGGCAGCATTATTTATAATATCAAAGAGTTGGAAGCAACCCAAATGAACCAAAATAAGTAGTTTTTACTAAATAAATTATAGTCAGTCATCCCATAGAATATTTTTCAGCCATTTAAAACCAGACTTTAAAGGATATATAATTATGTGATGAAATAGAATATATCCTAAGTGAAAAAACCAAGCTGTGGAACTCTATGTATAACATGATATTGCAGATACTTGTAAAGGAGACAAAAGCTATGATGCATACAAAGGTTAACAGTGTTTGTCTCCACAGCCTGGACATATGTGTCACAGCCTCCTTTCTTTAACCATTTCTAAGTTTTCTACAAGGAGAAGTATCTAAAATTTCTACAAGAAGCATAAATGTTTTGATGATCAAAAGAACCCCACATTTAAGAACCAAAGGACTTGTGGCCCTTGAGTGCTTGGCTACTAACTACAAGGTTAGCAGTTTGAACTCACTCAGTAGTTTCGCAGGAGAAAGACCTGGCCATCTACTTCTGTAAAGATGACAGCCTAGCAGCCCCTCTGGGACAGGTCTACTCTGTCACATGGAGTCACTATGAGGTGACAATGGACTCTGTGTCATCTAACAACTACAACAACAACAGGTGGCATTGGAGGGCTGGCTTGGCCTGGCACCACAGCCGTCTCTGTGCCCTGACCAGGCTCCCTCTACCCCACAGGGCAAGCTGGAGATGACCTTGGAGATTGTAGCTGAGAGCGAGCATGAGGAGCGGCCCGCTGGCCAAGGCCGGGATGAACCCAACATGAACCCCAAGCTTGAGGACCCAAGGTTAGTGCCAGCCCTGATTCCTGTGCTTGGGGACCTGAGTAACGGTGCTGGGAAGTGTAGGCCACCCTACTGCGTACCACATAGGAGTCACAAAGCCCATAGGACATCCCAGGCCTCAAGAGGAGTGGATCTCATCCAGGGCTATATAGTAAGTTAAGGGGAGATGATGGTGTCATTCTAAGGAGCCAGAGCTCCTCTGTTCATTCAAGAAATAGTCCCTATTGGGTACCTGTTCTGGTTTTCCTGGGTGGTGCAACTAGTTAAGCACTTGGCAAAAGATTGGCCATTGGAGTCTACCTAGAGGTGATGCAGAAGAAAGGCCTGGCATTCTACTTTAGAACAGTCAACCACTGAAAACCCTATGGAGCACTTCTACCTCTGGGGCTGCTGTGAGTCAGAGTTGACTTGACAACAACTGGCTGGGGTACCTGATTATTGTGTGCCAAGCATGGCTTCATAGTGCATGTATGCATTGTGTTATGAAATCTTCCCTGCTAGCCTTATCCCCATTTTACAGATGAGGAAACAATCTCAGCAACATGAAATAAGGTCATCATTCTACATGAGAAAGTGGTGAAGTTGGAATTCTCACATCTGCTCTGATGGACTCTGGAGCCCAGTCAAAGTCTTTTTCCTTGTCAGGCTGCATTCCATGCTTCTCTTTTTGTAGGAAGACCTGGCTACTCTCTGGAGGGTCTGGCTTTAGAATGGTCTTTCAGCCTTAATTTTCCCATCTGTGAAATGGGGAGACCAATTCCTCATATCACAGGACTCTAAGGGAGCTAGACCATGCCTGTGGGTATGGAAGTCATGAAGGCAGTTTCAGGGAGTGGCGGATGCCTGTAGGGATCAGGGATGCTCTTGCTGAGTCTCCCTTTACCATCTACTCAACTCAAGTTGGGCTTAGGACAGATGACTCACTCTGTCACAATGCTCCAGTGCTGTGGGGCTGGTAGAGCAGTAGGAGGCAAGGTGGGAGTCTGTTTAGAGAGACAAGAAGGCCAGGAGATCCAGTGGTCACCATTGAGACACAAAATCCTGCGTGCTCTGCAAGTCGTTCTTGATTGTAAATATGAGAATTGTCCCTTAGCACAGGTTGGCTCGGAGAAGGAGCAATATTGGGGGGTGGGGGAAGTCCTGGTGTGGTACTGTAGGATAAGCACTGGGCTGCTAACCACAAGTTCAAACCCACCAGCCACTCCTTGGAAACTCTATACAGGGTCGTTACGAGTTGCAACAGACTTAGCGGTACTAACAGCAACATGAGTTGGAACTGACTCAGCAGCACTTAACAACACCAACAGGGGAATGAGGCTGTACAGGCCTTGGAGGGCCCGGGCTATATGACCTGATGTTGTAAGTTGAGAGCATGGTTTGGAGAAACCAGCTCTGAAGGTGCTCGCTGACCTCTGGGATTTCACTTCCAGGCGTCCTGATACCTCCTTCCTGTGGTTCACCTCCCCATACAAGACGATGAAGTTTATCCTGTGGCGGCGGTTCCGGGGTGCCATTATCCTCTTCATCATTCTCTTCATTTTGCTGCTTTTCTTGGGGATCTTCATCTATGCCTTCCCGGTGAGCATGCCTAATAGGGGAGGGATGGCCCGATGCTGTTCAGACAGGTACAGACCCTGACCAACATCAGATTTGCTCTGGACCAATCCCAGTCTGATGGAGAGAAACAGCCTCCGCTCTTGGGGGGCCCCTGGTCTGATGAGAGAGGAGTTCCCTGTCTGGTCCAGGAGACAAAGTCCTAGCTGTGGGAAGCACTTAGTCTCGTGAGGGAAACTGGGATTTTGTTCTTGTTGTGGTCACCCATTTTCAGTAAGGCCCTGGACTGTATAGCAAGTGTTGACAGAGGTGAGGTCCTTGGGCTGGGCTGAGCAGGAGCCTTCTTGAAGCAAGCTCTGGAACTGGGTCTGGAAGGCAAGGGGTGGCTGGTGGAGCAGAGGAGAAGCCCCTTTGTCTGTGAGGTCTGTATCTGCTAAGCTTTAGGGGAGAGGGACACCTGGGGCTGTCTCCCTAGAAGACCTTACAGTGTGTGTCTGCCTCCTGCAGCCAGGTGGGTGTGTGGGAAGGGGCAGGTGAGCAGAGGCCATCTTGGGAGCCTCGCACTTGGCCTGGTGTACATTTGGGATGAAAGGTCACCAGTGGCAGACCCTGGCCCCCAGCTCCATGGCCCTGCCTAATGGAGGAAGGACCCAGGACTCTTTTCCCAGCCTGTCAGGGGGGGCCCTGAAGAGGCTCTGGCCACCTGGTGCCTCTGGAACTTCAGACCTTGGAGGGGTATCAATGTTCCCAGGCTGACACCTAATTTTTAATCTTCTTTATAGTTAAGAACAACAACAAGAAAATTAACATGAAAATTTCAACCCTGTATGAAAGTAGAGTGAATGGCATACCCAGAGATGGAAAGAGCTCTAGGTACCACAGCAAACCTATGTGCAGCTCCCAGTTCAATGCTCCTGCCACCGTGGGCCTCAGTCCTGCTCAGCACCAGGCCACTGGCCAAGTGTAGGGACCCTCCAGTCAGACGTGAGCTTGGAGGGATGACTCGTGTGTGAGGTAGTTGTGAATCCTCCAGGAGGTAGACAGGAGGAAGACGGCACTCCCATCTTCACTGGGGATGTCTGCTGTCAGCAGGGCACACCTCTTAGGAGGAGGAACACTCAAATCACAAATGCTCTGATTCAGTCTCTCACATCATTGACAGTGAGGAACAGTGTGTGGGCATGTGGGGTGAGGCGTGGAGGAGGAGAGAGTATGCACTTGCAGGACCTGGCTATTCCGACCTGGCTATTCCCTGGAGGGTCTGTCTAAAGCCAGGATGCCGCATGGGTGCAACCACATGCCTGGTCCTCAAAGCTGGCTGTGGCTTTCTGAGATGAGAAACCATGACAGCAATGTAGATGTTTCAGTTCTCCATGGTGTGGAGAACTGAAACTTGTACAGTCTGGGGATCCTTTTTTACGTAAATGATGACAAAACCACAACTACTGGACGAGATGCAGGATGATGGGAGGTGCGTGTGTAAGTGTGGACTCTGGAGCATACATGAGCTACCATAGGAGTGGCCTGACCCTGGGCTCGGGCTCAAGGACTTTATCTTTGGTTGCTGAGTGAAGGGAGGGCTGGCTCTCCTTTCCTGATCTGTCCTTAGGCCCTCTTCGCATTCTGTGTCCATCTGGCTGCCATTCCTAGTGCTGAAGTCTCCCACGAGCACCTGATAGCACCTAACAACCACACAAAGTGTCTGGGGCAGGGTGAGCAGTGAGGACTCAGTGGTAAAATCCTCACCTCTCATACAGGAGACCGGGGTTCAGTTCCCAGCCAGTGCATTTCATGTGGAAGCTACACCCCTGTCTGTCCAGAGAGGCTGGTGTGTTGCTATGAAACTAAGGCAGACTAGGAAGAAAGCCCTGGTGATCATTTCCAACAGTCAGCAGATGAAAAGCCCATGGGTCACAATGGTTTCACCCCGCTGTTCATGGGGTTGCCATGAGCTAAGGCCGATTCAGTAGTAGTTCACAACAACAAGGTTCCAGGATGTATGGCTTATGTTACCCGAGGGGTCCCTAGTCCGTCGGGGAGCCAGAGAACATTGAAGCTGGATTATGAGGTGCAGGCAGTGGGGTTTAAAGAAAGGAGAGCTGGCACACACGGTGCACCTTACAGTTCTGAGTTCCCAGGAGCCTCAACCTCCCTTGGGGGCTGCGGAGGAAGGACCTGCATTTGGGTCCCTTAAGGTTTGGGAAACACTGTTGTACAGGGCCCAGCACTGCAGTGGAGTCAGGAGATGGCTACGCACAGCCTCTGTCTGAGAGTCCCTGGTGACCTTAGCAAGTCCCACCCATCTGCATGTGGAGGGCACTTCTGGGGCTGGAACTGTGTTTGGGGGTGCTCCTTCACCTTCCCTGAAGAGCCCAGAAGAGACCAGGGCAAGCCCAGAGTGACTCTACCACTGCCCTTTCTGTGCCTAACTAACCCCTGCCCCAGGCATTTGGCACTGGGGGTGGAGGCCCTGGTGCCTGTCTGGGAGAGGAAGGGGAGTTCTCAGTAACTTATAGCCCGTGACCTCTCCTTATCCCTTTGGGCAGGTGCAGAGTAGTACTTTGGGAGGGAGCTGCTCAAATCCCCTTTTCTCTTGCACCCCAAAAGTGACATCACTCTCCTTCAAGTTCTGGAAATGATTCCCTAAACTACCAACCCTGTCTTCCCTCTCCAGGACTCCCATGAGGGGGTCAGATCCCTGGTGAGGGGTCAAGGTGGAGACTGGGACTGAGGCTCTGGACCACCTTGGCTTCCTGGTCATTGGTATAAACTGGGCAGATCCTTCCCTTAATCCAAGTTACTCAGTCATCTGGCCCGTACCAGAGCTTCTGAGACTCACCAGGTGCAGGTCCCAGACCCATAGTTTACAGGGGACCCCTCACCTGGCTTCAGGCTGAGAGGTGAGAGGGCCTAATTCTGCTCTCCCAAGCCAGAACTTGGTGGAGGAGCCTAGGGACAGGGCTGCTCCCCTCCCTGGTTGGCCTCATCCCCCACCCTTGTGGAAATTCCCCTGGGAGGAGGGCGAGGGGGCAGCCTGTCTGATTTCTCCCAGCTTCCCCCTCAGAGCCAGCGGGAGGAGGGCCAGCATGGGGAGGCAGGAGGCAGTTTGGCGGGGAAGGAGCGGCCAGCTTTGTTTCCAGAGTTGGCTTTCCCGGGGACTGCGCTGGGGAACATACTGTCCCAATTAGGAGCCCTGTGTTGTGTTGTATGTGTTTTCATGGTTTTTGGGGGGAGAGAAGTGGGGAGGGGAGATTCCTGTCAGTCCTGCAGCAGGAAGGGCACAATGAAGGGCACAATAAAGGGCAACCCATCTCTGGTGCTGTTCTGTGTGTGGTTCATCCCTGGACACCCCACCCCCAACTCTCTGTCTGCTCTGGTCAGGACAGTGGTCACCCCTGAGCCCTTGGTTCCTGTATGGGGAGGGGTGGGGAAGAATCGTAGCCCTGGCTTCAGACCACCTGCTGATGGAAGAGACCCTTGGACTCAGAGGAGTCTTGGCAGCTGGTTTGAACATGGGGCTTTCTTTAACTCCTGTTGATGGGGAGGAGACTGAACAAGCTTGGGCCATGGGTGGGAGACAGGGAGTCGAGTTTTGGGATGGGCTAGGTTTGAGTGATGATCCAGAGCATCAGGCAGTGTGGAGTGGGGGGCTGTGTGTGGGTGGTGGGTGAGGAGAGCAAGGTGCAGGCAGGTGGGTGAATAGCCATGAGCCTCCTCTCCCAGCTCCCTGCCTCAGGCAGCTCTGCCTGATCCTCCAAACCTTGTAATGGAGGCAGTCATTCCAGCTGCCCAGGTGGGGCCACCATGTAAGCCTGTCCCCTTCTCCCTTCAGAACTACGCTGCCATGAAGCTCGTGAAGCCCTTCAGCTGAGGACACTCCTGCCCCTGAAGGGGACTGATGTGGCCGTCCTCCAGGTCCCAGACTGGCCTGCCTCCTCCTCCTCCTAGCTCAACTGAGCTCCTCCACCACTCCAAGGCCTTGACCTCCCTTACAGAGAGGTTGGACAGACAGGTGGAGCAGCACGTGCTCCCCAGTTGGTAACATCAAGCCCTGGGATCACCCTGCTTTCATCGTTTTGTTCTCCTTCAGCTGAGCCATTTTTGGGATCAGTTCCTATTTCAGTAAAAAACAGTATTTTAAACCACAAAGCTGTGTGGGTGCATGAGTATCTCCAGTACCTGAATGAGGGAGGTGGTGACAGTGCATGGAGGGGTGCCTGGAAAGGTGTGGGAAGGCAGGGTGGGTGCGTGCTATCACTGGCTCAGCCTTCTCCAGACAGAAGCAACCAAATGCCATGGGTAGGGGGCCCCATGGGATTATTTACTGGGGAATGGGGTGAACTTTGAGACTTAGTGTCTGGCCTGCCTAACGACCTGGCAATTGTCCTGCATCCTCTTCTTCCTTCTTCTCCTCTCCCCTCCCCTCCCCACCATCTCCTCTTCTCTCCTAGACTTGCCACTTTCTCCATAACCCCTCCTCACTTGGGCATCTCTCCTTCCTTTCCCATGCTGGTGGGCAGCTACCTGTTGGCTTGGGTGGGCAGCTACCTGTTGCTCTGTGTTCTTTGGCCATGTCAGGGGAGAGTTTCCATTGGCTTGAAAACGAGCTTCAAGGAAAAGACAGGGCCAGAAACTCCCCCAACAGAGCTGCTTGCTGGTTTCTGACTTTGCCCTTGCCCTCTCCTCCAACTCTCTTGGGAGCCCTTGGGGTCCTATTTTTGCTCCCTCACCCTGCTTTAAAGATCTGATCTGGACAAAGACACTTATCCTTGCAGTCTGTTGCACTAGCCATTGACCTGATGTTTTCTGCAGGAAATCAGGCTAAGTCTATGGGACTAGCAGGAACATCCAGAAAAAGCCAAGAACATGAACACACCGTGTTTCCAAAACAGAGGCCTCTGCCCCTCTTGCCCAAGGGGCTGGAACTCATGGAGCACAGCGCCTGGCCTGGTCTGCTGGGTGGCTGCCTGTTCCTCAGGAGGGCTTCTCTTGTTTCCCCCTGTGGGCCTGCTCCCCTGGCCCAGTCCCAAGGCCTCAGAGTGATCCTTGCAGCCACCCTTTGCTCTTCATTGTACTCTAGGACCCAGACTGAGGCCTGCTTCACTCTGACCTCATTGGTAGCATCATTGTGATTGGTACAGGGTTCATCTCCTGAACCTCAAAAACATGAGAACACAGGTTAGAATTGGTCCTCAGTGTCCAGCTGCCCAAGGGCCTGAGGAACTTGGTGGCCAGTCCTGAGAGCCTGATTCTCAAACCATGGTGCCAAATTACCACATCTCACACAGAACATGCTGCAGGGACCAGGGGCAAAGCTGCTTGGGGAAGGTCATTCAGGAGTCTTCACCAAGAATCCCTGGGCATGCAGTAAGCCATTTTCCAGACAAGGAGGAGACAGGCAGGAAGAAGTGGAGCTACAGCTTCAGGAGGTGGTGAGAGGTTTTTTCATGGGCAGGGAGGAACTGAAAATATGGGAGGGAGTGCGGAGGAAAGATAGGGAAAGACCAAAGACACGAGAGAGTATGGAACCAGTTTCAGGAGAAGAGGATTCCCTTTCTTCTAGGTACAGGAAGGCAGTAGAATTCAATGCAACTGTAGTTGTTGTTGTTATTAAATGCTGTCGAGTTGGTTCCGACTCATAGCGACCCTATATAGGGTTTCCAAGGAGCACCTGGTGAGTTTGAACTGCTGACCTTATGGCTCTCAGTCCAGTGCTGATCCTACAGCATCATACCAGCAACTATTAGCTAGGTTAAAAGAACTTTAGAGGACACTGTTCATTCATTAAGGAGCCCTGGTGGTGCTGTAGGATATGCACTGGACTGTGAACCATAAGGTTGGCATTTCAAACCCACCAGCTACTCCAAGGGAAAAATATGAGACTTTCTGCTCCCCTCAAGATTTACAGTCTTGGAAACCCCCATATAAGGTTGTTATGAGTCAGAACTAACTCCATGGCAGAGGAATTTTAAATTTATTCATTTGGTTTGACTTAACTGCTGGGGGTTGCAGGCAATAGAAAATCATACTAAAATTATCATAGCAAAAGGAACTTAATGATTTATGGAAATGGAATATCCAGAGTATTGGCTTCAGGTAAGGGTTGATCCAGCACTTTACGTCACCAAAAGCTTGCATTTTCTCTGTCTTTCTGCTCTACCTCCTCAGGGTTGCCTTCTCTCGTAACTTGGCTCTACTTCTGGAGCTGGGATTGAAGCTGCTCCCAAGAAAAACACAGGGGGCAGTGGATGGCCAGGAGATACCATGTCTAGTGAATGCTTACTGAGGAACACCACATGGCAGGCCTAAGACGTAGCAGTGAGTCACACATGATTATTGACCTTCCATAACTCCCAACCTGACAGGAAAAGTATATCAGGAAACCGGTGGTTATTTGTCCCTGATGTCCCCTGGGGGAGAGGGGCAGGAGACTTCTTCAGGAAGGAACATCATTTAGTTGAGTATTGGAGCATAAGAGAGGAAGGGTACTCCAAGAGGCGGAAATAGAAAGAGGGTCTCAGAGATGTTCGAGAACTTGACTAATTAATGGTCAGAAGGAGAATGAGGTTGGAGCGAAGCATGCCTGAAGATGAGAGGGAATAGCCAGATGTTGAAGGACTTTGTGCGTGCAGCTGAGTTTGAACTTCATTCTGGTGGCCGGGAAGCAGCACAGAAGAACAGAAATCTGAACTGACCTTTCTCAGGAGTGTAGTTCTTGAAAAATCATTCTAGCTTAGCTCTTACCCTGTGAGGAAAGAAAAGAGTTCTCTGGGGGTGGTGGTGGTGGTGGTGGTAAATGGGTAGACTTTGAGTTAATGAATTTAATGACATAAGTGTGTTTGAAAGGGCAGGGTCTAGAAACCTCACCCAATTTTCCAAAAGGTCTTTTTTGATTCCTCATAGTTAAGAACAATTACTAGTTGCAAACAGTAGCCAGTAGCAAAGGGCTCTTCTAAAAATCTGGTTCATGAGTCTATGAACTTGTTGGTGATGATCTGAAAGACAGCATAGGGGTCATCCATTTATTTATTCACTTATTCATTCAAAAAATATATAATGAGGGCTATTTGGGTACCAACCAGGGTGCTAGACTCTAGAGATACAGTGTTAAACAAGGCAAGTATGGTTACTACTCTCCCAGTTAAACAGGTGAGGCATAAAGTGGAGTTACATGGTCAAGGGCAGGGAGTGGAAAAGACAACAGAGGGATCCGAGTCTGCAGTGACCGGCCATAGCATGTTCAGCGATTTACAAGAACTACCAAGTGCCACATGGCACAGAGCAGCTTTCTCAACCAGAGACAATTTTGCTCCCAGGGCAATGTCAGATGACAGTTTTGATGGTCACCCCTTGGGGGTGGGGGTGTTGTGCTGGAGAAAAGCAAGGTATGTGGTAGCTGCTAGATATCCTATAGTGCACAGGACAACCCCTTACAACAGCAAAGTATTGCCCAGTACAAAATGGCAGTGGTGCTACTTTTGAGGAATCCTGGCATACAAGGGGCCCACAGGCAATTAGACTTGACAGAACTTAGGGATTGACTGTTTAGGGCTAGGGTGGGGGATGATGGGAGACAGATCCCAAAAGATTTCCAATTGTTTAGCTTTATGGGTGGTCAGGTTCCACTTACTAAGTTAACTTTGGACAAGTGAGTTCAAATGTGTTTAAGGTCCATTTGAAATAGCCTTGCTACTCTCCATGTTTCCTTGAAGTTTTGGTCTCTCTTCTCTCTTCACAACATTCTGGAAAGTCTGGCCTACACTTCTCCAGATCCTCACCTTGAACTGTAGTCTCAATTCATCCCTGTGGCTGACACTCTGGACTTTCTGTTTTGTCTGCCACCCTTTCTTTCCCTCCTTGTTACAAGAACCGTGATACTGTTCAGTCTTTTGTGTGACTATGTGCTCAGAATGCAGCCCTGGCCCCCGGGGAAGCCATCTTTACTAGACTGAGCCATTCACAACAATGCCAATGACTGTTTCAGGAAGGGGCCTGAGACTTAGTTACAGTTAGTGAGTTGTGGCAGGACGGTGGTGGCAATGGGTGTGTGAAGAGACGAGAATACTTCTATAAAGGTGGTCTCCCCAATGAAAAAGGGGTCCACAAGGAGAAATGTATCATTTTATACCTCTTAATCTTATTGTTAAGTCCTGTTGTGGAGATGTAGGATAAGCACTGGACTTCTAACTGCAAGGTTGGTGGTTTAAACCCACCATCTGCTCCTGAGAAACCCTTTACAGAGTCACTGAGTTGGAACCGACCTGACGGCACTTAACAACACCAACAATCTTCTTGTAGAAAAATGTAATGACTGGAGCTGTGGCAGCCATCTTGTAGCCATGAGGAGACAAGATTGAGGAAGAAAGCTATCACACAGAGGGTGGAAGAGAAGTAGAAAGGAAAGACCTGATTCTTGAAATGAATGAGAAAGAACCAAATCTGGAACTGCCTACTTCTAGATGTTTTGTGGGATCATAAACTCATTATTTAAGTCATCTCTGGTTGGGTAGTGTGTTACCTACTCTATGAGCATTTGCATTGATAATTTTTATTCTGCTCCTGAAAGCTGATTTTACTCCAGTCACCAACAACCATGACTACTATGTATGGGAAGCACATCTAAACATTATTTATTAGAACAGTTTCCCCACAGATACCAGTAAAGTGTTTCGTTCTTTATTCATAAATGTCTTACAATAGTTTTCTGGTTGGTAGACATAAACTAACCTGAGCAACAGGCAACTTTTTTTGATTCACTTGAAAGCCTCATCTAGCCTTGGTTGTTAAACTGTGGACGCTTCTCTCCTTAACCCTGATGACTTTCAGCAGCAGCCCACAGCATGGAACTTTCTCTGCTTCTTTATAAACCTT